CACCTAACCCTAGAAGTTGTAACCTGATTCATTTTCATATTTTAATAGCTAGACAGGAGATCCTTCATGCTGTTGCCTTCTGATATTCAGTCTACTATTTAGAATCACCAGAAAACAAAGAAGTGTGACTCTAATAGTTCGTCATGTCAAAAGTCTGCCCTAGATGATTCTTCAATAACTTATTTAGTGTTAGAATGACCAACAATGTCGTGTTTCTTTGGAATTATCATAATATGTCACTGAAGAGATTTCGTTTGTATATTGCTCCTTACTCTCCCCCCTCTCTCACACACACGGACAAACAATATTTCTTGTTCTAAGTTCTCGTTCATTTTATGAGTACTTACACTTGATCTCTTTCTTTTTCACTGCCCTTTCTCATATGCTGGCTGGTATTTGACCTGATCTACACAAGTTCAGATGACCTACCTTTGTGGGGTATGCTGAAAACCGCCCTTATCTTCCATTTATTGGTTTGATTTACCTTTAATTATTTTCACTACAATTTAAGGTACTTAATATTCATGTTTAAGGGTTTGTTGGGGAGCTGCATCCTGATAAGAACAGTGATAATGGCAAGCATGTCCTTTACACACACAAGAACATTGTCATTAAATACAATAAAGATCAGGTCAGTTCTTATTTGATTAGTTTCTTATTCTACTTCTAATATCAAGAAGGGTTTAGGGAGCCATGATGTGCTGTACTTGGGTCTGTATTTTGCAGATTATTCATGTGAATCTAACTCAAGAGAGCCCCAAGCCTCTGGAGGCCGGCAGAAATTTAGACATGACATACTCTGTCAAATGGGAACCTACCAATGTCACCTTTGGACGTCGCTTTGATGTCTACCTGGATTATCCTTTCTTTGAACATCAGGTTAAAAAGATTGGAGCAAATTTTGCATCTGGATTCAGTTTCTGTTGGATATTTCATTGTCTTTGACTGTTCACATCCTTGTAGCTGTTTTCCTTGGCTTTGTCTATAAACGAATTTAAGTTCGTCTGGTGTTTTGCAGATACATTGGTTTTCCATTTTTAATTCTTTCATGATGGTTATCTTTCTCACTGGGTTGGTGTCAATGATATTAATGCGAACTTTGAGGAATGATTATGCTAAATATGCACGAGAAGATGATGATTTGGAAACCCTGGTAATTCCTTTCAGACTTATTTATTATCTGTTTATTAAATATATGAATTATTTCTTCCCAGAAAAAGTGGAGTGTTTCTGAATGTCAATTTTGTTTAATAAAAATACTTCTAGGAGAGAGATGTTAGTGAAGAATCTGGCTGGAAACTTGTGCATGGTGATGTTTTTCGGCCACCTCGCAATTTAGTTATTCTTTCAGCTGTTGTTGGGACTGGTGCTCAGCTGGCATTGCTGGTTCTTCTTGTCATCTTGTTGGCTATTGTTGGGATGTTATATGTTGGGTATATAACTTCTTAAACTTCCTGTTATATTTTTCTGCATTATGATTTTATCAATGATAGGGTGATTGTGCACAAAATCTGCTAAATAACTATGTTTATGCCATTTGCTGCATGCATATCTCAATAATCATCCATTTTTCTAGGCTGTCAGATTGGCTATCATTTATCCATGACCTTCTCTTTTCCGCTTCTTTGTTGTGTAAATCCTTCAATGCTGTTTGTGTCCCAGGCGGGGAGCAATTGTCACAACCTTCATTGTATGTTATGCCCTGACGTCGTTCATTTCTGGTTATGTGAGTGGGGGGATGTACTCAAGACATGGGGGTAAGCATTTGGGGGGGGGGGGAATTGCTGCAACCTCTCCTCAGGCTTGCTTTAGTGACTTTAATTTGACCTTTGCTCTGAATGCTAATAACGGTTGCTTTTGTTTATATAGGTAAAAGTTGGATTAAGTCCATGATTCTCACAGCATCTCTTTTCCCATTCATGTGCTTTGGAATTGGGTTTGTCTTGAATACATTGCCATATTCTATGGATCTCTAGCAGCAATCCCATTCGGCACAATGGTGGTTGTGTTTGTCATTTGGGGTTTCATCTCTTTCCCTCTCGCACTTCTGGGTACAGTTGTTGGCAGAAACTGGAGTGGTGCCCCAAATAATCCCTGTCGTGTGAAGACCATCCCACGTCCGATTCCTGAGAAGAAGTGGTACCTCACACCATCTGTAGTTTCTCTGATGGGAGGACTCCTACCGTTTGGCAGCATTTTCATTGAGATGTATTTTGTGTTTACTTCCTTCTGGAATTACAAGGTGAATTAGAACCCAATGCATTGTGTGGGTGACAAAGTTATTTTCTTATGTTTTTGGTTAGAAAGCGTATGTTTCTTGTCAAAAACCATTTCATCCTAAAAAAGCTTAAGGTATCAAATGAAGGCCTAGGAAAGGGTCTCCTATTTCCATCATGCCCCCACACACTTTGAAGTGTGATTAAGCACATCATTACCTGTTGTTGAAATTTCAATTTAATTTTGAAGAATGGGGTGGGGTGGGGTGGCAGCCATTGAATCCCAACTGCATGGTCTAGAATCTTTGATACTATTTGATCCTAAAAGTTTAAGCTACATTGGGTAAGGGCTCATGCTAGGATTGAATTCTATATTTTCAACGTGTTCCTTCTCTCTAATAGAGCAGAGAAACTGGTTTCCTTGCTTCCAAAAAAAAAAAAAATCTTGAACTGACTAATAATCGTTCAAAGTAAACCAATTTTTATTGAGTGAAAGCAGCGTAGACATACATGCTTTGTGAGTTTCATGTTTTGAACTTGGCTTATATGTGTTTTACTTCCTTTCCTTTGTGGCTAACAGGTGTACTATGTCTATGGCTTCATGCTGCTGGTGTTTGTGATTCTCATTATTGTTACTGTTTGTGTGACGATTGTGGGAACATACTTCCTGTTAAATGCTGAGAACTACCACTGGCAATGGACTTCTTTCTTTTCTGCTGCCTCAACTGCTGTTTATGTGTATCTGTATTCTATATACTACTACTATGTGAAGACAAAGATGTCAGGCTTCTTCCAAACTAGCTTCTATTTTGGATACACCTTGATGTTTTGTCTTGGACTTGGAATTCTCTGCGGTAAGTGTTCAGTTAATTATTATAATTTTTAGTATGTATTTTCAGCTTCATTTCAAGCTCTGGTAGGATGAGAAGTCTAAAATCCAGTATTATTGATTAATCATCCTTTCATAAGAATGTTCTTGTGCTTTATCTGGCCTGAAGTGTTCCCTGGAATGATGTGCAGGGGCTGTGGGTTATCTTGGTTCAAATTTGTTTGTGAGAAGGATATACCGAAACATTAAGTGCGATTAGGGCTTTCCTGCGAGTTGAGACCTGAGAACTTCCCTAGTTTTGTTGCTGGAGATGGCGAGTTTCTAGAGGAAGCCTCTGGTTGACGTACGGGGGGATGAAACAGTGGTGGCTGTAAAATCACGGGGTTTTGTGCAATGAGGATGTATTCTTTCTATGTAATGGGGAAAGCCCTGAGATTTTTTTTTTCCCCAGCTTGGAATTGAAAGCCGTAATTTAGAATGCAGGGATTGTTCTTTTATAATCTGGATAGTTAGCCAAATATGAGACTTACTCCTTACTTTTTCAACAATTTATATATAGTTGCTCTAGTGAAGAACGTCATGTCTGGTCCCCTTGTAAGTTTGGTTTAGCTATTTCGAAGTATGCGAAGGGGGTGAAGTCTCGGATATGAATTTTGTACGAAAATCTGAATATATTTCCTATCTGTTCTCTTCGTTCCCTGTTCATTCGTTTTTGCGTTCTGGGCGGCTTCTTGTTTGAATTTGGCCTGTTCTATTTTCTTTTCGGGGAATAGGGCTTGGTGGGAGCCTGAGTGGTATTCGCGCCTAATGTAGCTCAATGTCGTTTTACGGTGAACATTTTGATAGCCAGGCCCTATTATGTTTCCTTAATAGAGACTCTTTTAGCTATAATTGTCTCATTTAAGAGAAATTTAAAGTAAGAAGGGGGCCAATCTTTATGAGCGGAAATTATATTACCTATAGTATTTTTAATTGTTGACAATATTTAACGTGGGCGACCATTTTTAACTGTTTTCCCCCAATATTGGTGGGGTTATTAATCGTACCCTATATTGAAGATGAAAGATAACAAAACTATGTTTGCCCAAAAAAAAAAAAAGAGATAACAAAACCATACGTTTAAACACGACAATAAATATGCAAGTTTTGAAAGTTCTATGAGGTGCTCCTTCTTTGCCTCTCTCAATTCTACTGGATGATGATAAATATGTAAATCTTAAAAAACAAATTCTAAAAAATGTTTGGGATATTGTTGAAAAATTTAATGACACTTGATTTCCACAATATCTCGCATGCATACTATTTTATCAAAAATTTTGAAAGCGTTGCTTCTTACTTAGTAATCATTTCCTTAAAAACACTTCTATTTATTACTGTATAAGATTATAAATTCTTTAAATAATCGTTGCCCCAAAAAAATTCTTTGCATCATCCGTTTTAGCAAAATAACACATTATAAATTGCAAAATAATAGACTATCTAACTCATTGTTTTTTCAAAACTCGAGTTTTTCTAAGTTATTTTGAACTTTACTAAGATTGAAATTCTCCCCATGAGTATGTTTTTCAGAATTTTAATTTGTAATTTTTTTTTTTACAAAAATGAGACCAGTTTAATTCATATCTTCTTTATTTTTGTCTCTACCTTATTCTTAAGTGGGACAAACATTGTCATATATCTACCTCATCTAGCTTCTTTTAGAAAGTATTTTTAAGGATATCCAAATATTCTTAAGTGAATTTTTCTTCCAATTCCAAGTCTCATATCCTCTAAACTTGCAGTAATCACCTTCACTTTAACACATGACAAGAGGTTATAAGTTTAGTTGATTTGTTGAGTGACTAAAAAAATAATTTTATGATATCCAAAATAAATATATAAAAAATAATTTATTTACATAAAAATATTTTTTAAAAATTGTTTCAGAATCCCCAAAATCATCTCAATCCTTGCTGCCATTTTCTCTCTCCTCTCTTCGCTCATACTCTCTAGAAAGCTCCTTAAAGCTTAAACCCTCGGGGTCCAAAAGTCCTCGCATCGTCGTCCCTGTAGCAGCCATGGCTTCTTCCTCTCTCCACCTCCGGCGTGTACTTAGAACCCTCTCCGGTCTTCACCGGTCATTCTCGGCGACCTCCTCTACTTCCTCTGCGCCGCTATTCCTTCCTACCCGGCATGCCATTTCATCAGCACCACAGTCGTCGCAATCCCCGGCTCTTCTCTCTCATTCCCGGGCATTCAGATCCTCTTCCATATCGCTTCTGTCTGCTCGATCCCCATCCGTCAATAATTCCGATGAGATCGGCCCCGATACTATTCTTTTCGAAGGTTGTGATTATAATCACTGGCTTATTGTCATGGACTTCCCCAAGGACAACAAGCCCACCCCTCAACAGATGGTTGAGACCTATGAACAGACTTGTGCCAAGGGTTTGAATATCAGGTTTCTATCTCTTTCGCCGACGCCTCTGTGGGTTGTGCAAATATGACCTTAACTAGTAACATAACTTTATGGGAAATGAGCTTTCTTTCGTGGCTTCGACTGACTATCCAAAAGCATTGTGATTTGGGATTTTCAATTTGACAAAGATTAGGTGCATTGTTAACCCGATGTTTACTAGAAACTTGAAAAATGTAAGAATATCTTCTCAGTGACATATGCTTTGATCCTGTTCTGAGTTTTTAAGCTCTCTCAGAAAGCAGCACCCGAACCTAGTAAATAAAATCTTGTTTCATAGAATTGGTTGTTCTTTTTCTCTCCTTTCTTCTAGAGGAATTGAGTCGTTCATTTCGGTCTAACTTCGATACTGCACAATACCTATAGAGCATGAAAGGAGTCTCTCAAGTTTACCATGGCTTGACTCATTTTCTGAAATGGCTTCTAATTGACTATTGATTTAAAAGGAATTGGACTGTTCCCGTGCATTTGTTATGTATTTCAGGGTTCTTTCCCTTGTCATGGTGGTACTGAATATGAAATAACAAAACTAAGCGTTTGGAAGCACTTGCGTTCTTACTGCTTTTTTTCATGCTAAAACTCAATTGATTGGTTATTGGTTATCCTCTCTCTGGGTTGAAAGTTCACTGGTTTAAATTAGTTATTTATTTTTATTTCATGCTTTATTACTCTCTAAATAATTTGTCAGGATTCCGTTTCATACGTTCATCTTATGATAATATCATGTCGTCTCCTTTTAGGACTGTTTTTAATCTCCTCCTCTCCTTTTGTGTTTCAAATAAATGTTTAGTGTGGAGGAGGCAAAGAAGAAGATTTATGCCTGTAGCACAACTACCTATACAGGATTTCAGGTTGTCATGACTGAAGAAGAGTCAGAAAAGTTTAATGGTAGGTGTTGAAAGCTGTCACGCTTTCGTACTTGTATCTTTTATGGTGTGGTGAGAAGATAGGGAGAAAATGATATTTTGATTTGATTCTTTTTTCACAGGTCTTCCTGGAGTAATCTTTGTGCTACCAGATTCCTATATTGATCCAGTGAACAAGGAGTATGGAGGTAAGGATTGTTCTGTCTGGATATATTCACTAAGGCTAGCTATATCTTGTTAGAATGTTAGTTGAGCTTGTTATATTATTTGGCTATATTTTAGACTTGTGAGAATAATAAGGTAGTCTTTTCACGCACAAATGTTTCCAAAATGCATTGCTTTCTTGATAAACAGGAGATAAGTATATCAATGGAACAATTATTCCTCGACCTCCACCAATACAATATGCAAGGAATCAAGGAAGACGTGACCGGAATAGAAATTCTGACCAACCTAGATATAACCAACCTAGATATAATCAGCAAGGAGATCAGATGTCAAACCCACCAGGGAATCGCCCTTACAATTATCAGGGGCCCATGCAAGGTGATGGAAGGAACTTTGGACCTCCACAAAATCATCCACCTCAACAGAATTATGGTCCTGCATCACAGAGTTATCCCCAAGGACAAAGCTATGGTCCTCCTTCACAGCAATACGCACCGCAGCAACAATATGGCCCTTCTTCACCACGAGCACCACAGCAACCATACGGTCCTGCTTCATCACAGCATGCACCACAGCCTAACTTCGGACCATCAGGACAAGGAGTACCTAGAGATCCTGTGACTAGGCCCGGGGGAGCTGGTGCTTACCAGGGGCAAGGAGAAAATTTCGTCCCATCAAATAGGGAGGGTTTTAAACCCTCTTATGATCAACAGGGTTCTCAACAAAGATATCCGCCTTCTGGCCAGGGTAATTTGACTGGATATGGTAGGAACTATGATCCTTCTCAGGGTGGAAATTATGAGCGAAGACCTGGTTATCAGGGTACTCCAAACACATATGATCAAGGAATAAACCAGGGATATGGACAAAATTTCTCAGGGCAAGGGGAAGGTGAGAGATTTGCTCCAGGAGAACAAAGGAATGCGTACGGGGAGCAGAGGAGCTATGCACCTTTTGGACAAACAGGCTCTGAACAGGTAAGCCACTTCTACAGAAACTAGCATTGATCATGAATTGCTTATTACATGTTGACGCTGCATAAGGATCATAATATTTCCCACCCGAGAGTCCCAAATAAAGAACATCACTTTTCATAAAGACTAGTAATGGTGATTAGCTTGGCGATGAATGTTTATTTCAGTGTATTAGACATTTAGATAACTTTTAGTGGTGCCTCTTTTGTCGATGTGACTAGCTTGTCAACTCTTTCAAGCAATGGAAATATGACTCCTTTTTTGTGAATTTTTCTGCAGGGAAGATATTGATTTGTAATAGGTAGTCTGAGACGCAGGCGGCATGAATAGAAGTTTTGAAGTGCATTCCTGATTGCTTATCCTGCTGTTCGTGAGAAAATGAACCAATTAAGCTATGACTATATTGCTCAGTTACTCTTGGATGTTTGTTGTTGGCTGTTGAATTAAAAAGCTTATGGTTGTGTCCTATCTTTTTTCGAGACTGATGTAATCAGGTGTGTGTCAGCCAAATGGTCGTGAGCTAGTGTAATAGCCATACCACTCTGTTTCGTTGTCTATTTCCTAGTAATAGGATTAGGAGGAAGAAGGAGGACAGTGCTAGAGTCTACTTTTTCCGTAAGCCCAACATTTCACATAAAATTTGATTATTATTATTATTTTTTTGACAAGGTACATATTTTACTCTTCGAACTTTACGAATGTTTCATTTTGATTGTTGAATTTTCTAAAGTGCGTTTTTAGTCCTTTCGGTGGGATAAAATGCTGAACTTTTAATACCGTTAGTAAAAAATGATAACACTGAACTTTTAAATGTGGATAAAATGCTGAAATATTGATATATCAAGGTTAATTTTCAGAATAATAACGGTAGTTACAAAAAAAAAAAGTTATTTGAAAGTGAAATAAGACTATAAAGATGCTTTCCAGAGGATGAGAATGTATTTTTGCCTATTGTTAACATCGTACCTCAACTTCATTTGTCTGACATTTGGGCGCTACGTACGTGAAGCACGAGACATCTCTAAGTTTATGATATATTTAACTATGAAAAAAGGAATTGGCAAAAAAAAAAAGAAAAAAAAGAAAATACAAACTTGAAAATATACATAAAATGTCGTAATAGATTTGGTTCGATTGAGTTTAGGTTTTGAAGGTTCAAAACCAAAACCTGATCCAAATTACTCAGTTTACACATATTTGATGCCAAATCAAATCTAGTAGTAGTTAGTTTTGATCAATGCATATTGATTTGATTCGGTTTTAAACACCCAGTTGTATATTTTGTTATAGTTTAGCATTTCTAATAATATAAAATGACTAATAATTTAAAAAAAAAACATGATCTTTTCTTCAGGATTAAAAACCCGCCTAACACCTTATATATAAAGTGATTTGTATTTTTTTTTAATTCAGTAGTCATAAATAAAAAATAAATACAAAGTAAGAGGAGAGAAGAGAGATCTAGAAGTGAGCATATAATGGAGAGAGAGAGAGAGGGATCACATCAAAACATACGTATACTCCCTTCCTTTTATCCTAAATAATAATAAAAACAAAAACAGTTAAAATCATTAAATTTGTTGTAAAATTCAAGTGATCTTTAATTTTGATTAAATATCTATGTACACTATTTTCGAAGCACAAACGATGAAGGGCAAAGAAGAAGCAAGGCGCAGCAACAGTACGGAGTGTTCACGTTTAATGCATATATTGCGTTGTGGTGGGTCTTTTTCATCAAAAAGATTCATTTGCTTTCAGTGGGATGTCTGATAAGCATGGCCTAAGGTTGAAGGAGATGAAAGTAAAGGAATCAACTTTGTGGAAGCAGGGATTCATGATGGGAAATTCTATGCTTTAACTGATGAAAAGTTGAATTCGTTCTATAATCCTTTGTGATCTGAGGGAAAAAAACACTAAAGCCTCAGATATTAGCCAAGCTTCCTGAGCCTGCAATAAATGCCTCACTTACTCATGAAGTGGATGTTTGTTTGCAGTTTTCCGTTGTGCATAATGTTAGATCATTGTATCGAGTATTTAGATCATAGTCTCTTACTATAAAAATGGTTGCATGTGTAGCAGCACCAATTATGAAAAATCCACCAATCCACATGTGATGTGTGAACAATGAAAGTTGTGTACCATGGTTAGTAGCTACACGGCATGATTCTTAAATCTCTAGCCATCGATGTGTCATCAGGAGAGTTATTTCTCGTTTATCCGTTTCACAACTCAAAAAGTATTCATACCATATACTACCTCCGGTCGTAATTATAAGACCCGGTTGACTAATTTGAGGAGATTAAAGAAAGGAGTTAAGTTAGTTATTTGTAATAAATAGGTGTTGACTTTCCTAAAATATCCTTACTAATCAACTATATTGGCTATGACTACAATTATTAGAAGGACTATCTTAGAAAAAATACATAAATATGAGAGATAAAATGGATTGGAGTCTTATATTTAGGACCAAAATAAAAGTCAAACAGGATCTTATATTAAAGATCGAAGGTAGTACTTCATATCAGTTCACCCAAGATTACAGGAAGCCGGGTGTTCAAGTTGGAGATGATGACGATGATGTGGATTAAGGTTGAAGAACTGAGAAATCAAATGTTGTTTGTTGACAAGGATAGGAGTTTGATTGTGTCAAATGTTGGTGTTCTTGGTCCTAAGGAGTTAGTTGAAGAGAACTGCATACATTTTGCTTATCAGTTTGAATGTGAGAGAGTAAACATAGAGGATGAGGAGAACTGGGAGCAAGGCGTGAGAATTGGGAGGCATTGTCAAAGTGATGCAAGTACGAGTTGTTATAAATTTCAAAGACCAGATTCGGCTGACGACGTGTCATCTCTAGTTTGGTTCATGCCACGTCTTGATAGTTAACTGCCTATTTAGATTGGCTGTTTAGATTAGCGGTGTACAATTTAAATATTTATAATTTTTATAAATGCTTATTTAGATTAGTGATGAGAAAATGTGATTTTAGATATTCATGACTTTTATAAGTGTTTATTTGGGTTAACAGTGTGTTCATGATTTTTTTAAAGTAACATTAATTGGAAGTGATGATATTAATTAATTGTGATTCCTGTTTGGATTTTTTTAAAAAAGTGATTTTGAGAAATTTAATTATGTTTGGATTTCATTATGAATTTTATAGATTTTTTTATATTTTCATAAAAATAAAATTTAGGTCAAATTCTTTATATTGATTAAGTCAAATTAATAGGTGAATTTACATGTGCACATACGCATTTGAATAATTAACAATAGAAAAATAACATGTGTCCATATGAAAATTTATAAATCTTAATTTATATTATAAAAACTGAGACAAAAACTTACAAGTGTTAAGAGAAAAATTTACAAATTCAAGCATGCATTTTAATTAATTACCGACAATAACAAAATAACAAGTATAATTAAAAAACTTAACTTAATAGATATAAGAAACTTAATCTAAGTTTTTTCCTTTTCATAATTATATTTAATAAACGTAATTATTAAATATAATATAGTAAATGACGTGAATTCTTAAATAATAATAATTTCAAAAGTTAATATATTTTTTCTTGAAAGCTATCTACAACCATTGGAAAAATAAAGTTAAAAAAAAAATTCTTATCAAAATAAAAAATCTCAACGAACTTTTGAAAGATTTTAGCGTTCTTGTTGTCTTGTTTAATATAGAAAATTCATTTTTTAAAACTCAAATCACTAACTGATATCGAGAGAAATAACACAAGGAGAGGGAAAAAGCAAAGAGAGAAAAGGAAGAAGGAGAAGAGGAATCATGATGAAAGGCAAACCAGAAGAAGAAGGAAGCAGCAGCAGGAAAATGACATGGACGATTCATTCTCTTCTTTCAATAATAACACGACAACACCGTCTACCCCGGTAATTAATTCCTTATTAACTTCACACACATACAAATATAGAATCTTTAGAAGAGCTACGTTGTTTCTGTACACTGACAAACACACATAATAATTAATATATATATATATATATATAACCATCTTTTTGAAGGATAAAGAACTGCAAAGAAGAAGAAGGAAGCATCGACAATAATGATGAGAGAAGCCTAAAAATCTGCAGCAGCAAATGGTCAGAAATTGGAGACGATGTCTTTGGTTTGATTCTACAACGTTTGTGTCTCACTGATTACCTTCGAACCCAAGTTGTGTGTTCAGGTTGGCAATCCGTTGTTGCTAGGTCCATTGCTAACAAGTGTTGTCCACCATTACCAGACCTACCGCTCATATTCCTTCAAACAAATGAGTACGACTCCTTTTCATTCTTCAACCTGTCCACAAAAACTGTCTTGCGTTCTACTGGATCTTGGCAGTTTCATTGCTACGGTGTAATACAAGGTTGGTTGATCATGGTTGATGAATACCCAGTTTCTTGTTTTACGCCGGATATTTGGGTTCGAAGCATCATTTTCTTCAATCCCTTAACAAAAGCTAAGGTTTTGATGCCATCAAGGTTAAAATGTAAAGGTAGGATTGGGAAAATTGTGGCATCAACAAAACCTAGCGACCCAGATTGTGTTGTGGTATGCATCCTTTGGAATTTTAATAAGCTTGCAATTCGTGGCATGTCTGATGAGTCATGGACTTTGATTGATGGTTGCAGAGGAAGCTTTACCTTCATGGAAATAGAGATTCTTGATGGGAAACTGTATGCCTTGAGCCACCCAATTTATTATAGACAATTTTATGTTTTTGTCTGTGATCTGCAAAATAAACCCATAAAGCCAAAATTTATAGCAGCTAAGATTCCTTCACTACCATTTGATTGGGTTTCATCTAATCTTGATCACCCATTTTGGTTTTTAGCCGCTGATGCTTCATCTGGAGAGTTATTCCTTATTTACACGCCGCAAAGTAAAGTGTTCAAGTTAAACTTTACAAGAGGAAGTGAAGAAGAAGAAGAAGAAGCTGAGTGGATTGAGGTTAAGGATTTGGGGAATCGAACGTTGTTTGTGGGAGGACGCAAGAGTTTGGTAATATCAAACGTTGGTGTTCATGGTCCTCAAGATTTGATTAAAGAGAATTGCGTGTATTTTACATGTGAGGTTAGAAATCATGAGAAATCAAAGCAATGGAAGCTGATCACATTTGGGAGGTATTCTTGTGAGAGTGATCAAAAGAAGGATTATTATACTTATCAATGGTTCATCCCAAGTAGGGTGTCTTCTCCGACTTGGTTCGTACCAAGTTTATGATATTGAGGCATTACTGCATGAGACAATAGTATTATTATTTTTCTAATGTTTTATTTCTTATTATTAATGTCATATATACTTGAAAATCTTATTGAATTTTAAAGTTGAGCCCCTTTAATTTGAAAATTTATAATAGTTAGTGATGAGGTTTATGTAACACCTCACTTTTAAGATCACTTATGAAAATATAAACAAACATTTCACTTGTGTTAATTACCAAGCACATAAATATTTATTTATTAAAAAATTTACCATATATCCATACGATTCAGATTTTCCGCAAATAAAAACACGGAAGAATTATAATATATGTATAGATAGAAAAATTATTGGCAAAGAATTACACGGAAGAATTACAATGAGATTATAAGGAACGAAAATAATTAGCAATAAATTTCAATAACAAGTAGATAGTTCTAAAACTTGTCATTGCAAGATATTCTA